AAAAAAAAAAAAAAAAAAAAAAAAAAAAAGATAACTCATAGAATGGGAGAAAATATTTGCAAATCATCTGTTAAGGACATAGTATTCAGAATACAGTAGAACTTTGGTTTGAGGACACAATTCATTTCAGGAACATGCTTACAATTCACACTAATATCAATTTGCTTGATATACAAAACACTTATATATCAAAGCACATTTCCCCATAAGAAATAATGGAAACTCAGACGATTTGTTCTGCAACCCCAAAATACTCATATAAAAATACCGCAATATAGTACAAAATACTAAAGAAAGTACAAAATATAAAGAAAAATTAACAAATTAAGCTGCACTTACCTCTGAAAACCTGCGTGGTTGGTGTGAGGGAGAGAAGAGAGAGGACGGCACTGTGCAGGAGACTTTCACAATAAAATCGCTGCTGTCTATTGGCTCAGTGGAATCTTCTTCTTTCTTGTGCAACATGGAAGCTATCCAGTGACATTTGCTTTTGCCTCCTTTTGAGGATTCCATGGAAATGTGACATTGTTGCTAAACAGGTCCATGGCTTGCACTGCTACAGCCTTATTCTGGTAATGTTTTCTACACAATTTTGCAGTTTCCCCTCATTTTACACGCTTCCCTAATCTCGTGAGAACTGAGAGATTCCTCTGCCTTTTTCTCCTCCTCCTCTACAACATCTCCTCCACAACCACTGAGCTAAATCCCCAGCCCCACAACCTCTTACTGTTGGGAGATAATCACCCATAATCCCACAGTGAGAAGGGGAGAGAGAGCCATTGGCTCAGTTGTGGTCATGTGGTATTCAGCACCTCATACTCGTACTGCAAGACAACACTCATTTATCAAGCTAAATTTTATGAGATATGTCTGCTTATCTTACAGAATAGTCACAGAATAAGTTGTTCACAATCCAAGGTTTTGCTTTATATAGAGGATTCTTACAGCTCAATAATTGGAAGGCAATCTTTTAAAAAATGGACAAAAGATTGGAATAGACAGTGTTCTAATAAGATAGGCAAATGGCCAATGAGTGCATAAAAGTTCTCAACATCATTAGTTATTAGGGAAATTGAAATGAAAACCACAATGAGACATCGTGTACAAAACAGTTTAATGGTTAATAGAGATAACACAGAGTTAACCATATGGCCCAGAAATACCACTCCTAGGTAAATACCCAAGAGAATCCAAGGTGCACGTTCACACACATACTTGTACATGAATACTGATAGAAGCAGTATTCCTAACAGCCCAAGAGCATTCCCACATGAAAGGAAACCTTCATACAGTGGAACATTCGTCAGTAGTAGAAAGAACTGATGCCTGTTACACTGTGAATCAGCAACATTATACTAAATAAATGAAAGAAGCCAGACACAAGAGGCCACATGGTATATGATTCCACTTAGATGAAATGTCTACAATAGGCAATTCCACTGTGTGGGTGATGAGCATTTCAAAGAATGAGGTAATGATGGCGTCTCTGTCATTTTCTTTGCCACTGGGACACAATACTTGACCCTCAAAATGTAAACGGGGAGTTATTAGAGAGTTCAGTCCAAGGCAGGAGGATGCGTTGGAAGGACTTGATCGAAGAGAGCTGCTCAGGTCATGGCACACAGGAAGCAGAGAGAGAAGGGAGGAGCGAAGGAGGGAGGCCAACCCTTCTAGGCCATGCCTCCATGACTAGCTCTTCAGACAAGGCCCGCCTCCTGACAGGAAGTCAGCTGTCAGCCCTCATGGTCCAATCACCTGACAGGAAGTCAGCTGTCTGCTTTCATGATCCAATCACCTAACAGGAAGTCAGCTATCACCCCCTCCTGATCCAATGGCCTTAGGAAGCCCTGCCTCTGAGTATCTGAGGCTTTGGAGACATCTAGACATGAACTGTGACAAATGGTTCATGTAGATAGTTGCACACCCTCATAAATATACCAAAAGCCACCAAATTGGACCTCCTTGTGGTATGTAAATTATATCTCTTGCTTCCTCCACCCACCCAAAAGAGAAAAGCAGATCCAGGGCAGTGTGCCAGTCCCAGCTGGACCAGAATCAGCAAGGTGACCTTGTGGCCAGTTAGCTTGACAGCCACTGTCCCAGCCAGCCAGAGCCTGAAGCGCCTGCAGGGAGGTAGGTGTGCTGTAAAATTTAGCCAGTAAAGTTAGGTGTGCCAGGCATGGTGGTACACACCAGTAATCTCAGGTCTCAGGAAGCTGAGGCCAGAGAGCCGCAAATTTACAGCCAGCCCAGGCTACATAGTAAGACCCAGTCTCAAAAACAGTAAAATCATTCCCTGAAGGCTGTCATCCTCCCTTCCTCCAGAGTTTTGACAACATATTCTTGTCAGTAAGAGGCCATGGATTTTCAGGTCTCCCTCACTTTGTGCCACCCCCATGACTGCCAACTCCCGGCTTGGGCTTTGCCTGCTCCTTTCTCGGCTCCCAGGCTGGGAAGTGATGCTATTGCTGGTTTCCAGGGCTTCCCAGTGTGGGATCAGGATCACCTGTGTTGTCTTTGGTAACTTCAACTGGAACCGTAACAAGAGGCATAAGTTACCCCCGAGGCTCCTCACTCCTCCCAGTAACAGTTGCTGGGTTGCCCCGGAAGCAGAGCCGTTTCCCCAGGTGCGAGCACACACGTGAGTTCAGAGGTGGGAGCCCGGCCAGGAGCTAAAATAAGTTATGTTAAAGGGATGGCTTGCTGCTCCCCGACTCTGTGGGCTTGGGGTGCGGGCCTCAGACTGCGGGCAGCGTCTGGGTCTGTGCCTCTTCCAGCAGCTCCGTGGGCACGGGCTGCCCCGGCCAGGGCTGTCTCTCCTAGTGTCTCCAGTCTCACGTCTTTCTGCCTCTCCTTGCCCTAGCCTGCCTGCCACACACTTTCCCCCTTTTTCTTCATCCCCTGAAGAGCTGGTGAAAGCTAGAGGTGGACCGGTGAGAAGGAAAACCCAGAAAGGAACCCTGCAGACCTGGGAGTTTGGCGTTTCCCTGCCTCTTCTTCAAAGCTGTTATCGAGCGCAGGCTGCCACCACACGTCCGACTCCACTCCCACTCTTGGAGTCCTGAAATCCACAGCGCAGGACCCTCCTTCCAAGCCATCATCTGCGATGCCCAGGAGCAGGATGCCCAGGAGATGGAAGGACTAGTGTGAGCCGGGTTTGCCCCCCTCCCGTGTGACCTGAGTCACTTCATCCGCACACACAGGGCCAGGAGGGCCCCGGGAGACGGTGCAGACAGGAGCAGGCGCGATGGCAGCGCAGAGCCCCGGTTACCCCGAGGATCTTCAGATGCACTGCAAACCCGCACTCTGCCTGTCGCAGCCTTGAGCCTTTAGGCTGGGTCTGACCTCATGCTTTCCAGGACTCTGAGCTCACGTTTCTGAGGTCAGAGATTAGGCCCACTGTGTCTGTGGCATGGATCAGTAATAGAGTAATAAAGGATCGTGAGCAAACCCATGCTGTGAGCACAGACCACCTAGAAGCCACGTCCCTCTCCTAGACATCCTGGCACTGCCACCTGCCAGGCAGCTAGAAATCCCTTGGAGGCATAAAGGAACTCACCGGTATGAAAAAGTCTGCTTCCCTCCTTCTCTGAAAGGTGTCAGAACCACCTTGGAAGTCCTCGTTCACAGAGTCTGCCGAACTTGAGCCAACTCTTAAGTTTCGCTGAAATCAAAGAATCTCCACTGGACACAGGGAGAAGCTCAGGTATGTTAATCATTAGCAGGGTCAGGGGAGAGAAAGGAACGTAGATTCTCCCCTCTCATCTCTGTGTCTGTCTGTCTGTCTCTCTTCCAACGTCCGCACACCTACACCTGGCTGTACCAGTGAAGTCAGAAAACCACAGCGAGTCTCTCTGGCACCGAGGATTTGGATGAGGTGGGTTCTCCCTCTCCTTCCTGTTACCCTGGGGCTCTCCGATGAGCATGCATCACCTCTGCAGTTAGAGAAGACATCCAGGCTCAGGCGTCCTGCCTCAGCCTGCCCAGGCCCCGGGGCCCTTCTGCGTCCGTACCTGACTCTGCAGACTGAGTGCGCTCCAGGCCCTTGCTGCCAATGCCTGAGAAGGTCCTGTGTAAACTCCACCCACCTGGCCTCGCTGCCTGCAAAAGCCCCTCATTGTGGGCACCTGGGCCACACAGGGACTCAGAATCTTTCTTCTTTATTTTATGTATGTATTTGTTTTGAGATGGGGTCTCACTGTGTAGTTCAGGCTGGCTCTGTTCTCCTGGATCATCCTGCCTCGGGCTCTCAAGTGCTGGAACCACAGGCGTGCACCACCATACCCAGCTTATAAAGTAACTTTAAAAACAATGAAGTTAACTGAAACTGGGTGCTACTGATGATTCCCATCTTACAGAAGAGAGAGCCAGGACAAGGAAACACCCGCTGCCACCACACCTAGCTGCCACCATCCTCCTGTCCTCACGCTGGGAACTCTTGCTCTTTGCAGGAAGGACGCTTCAGGCCTCCTCACAAGCCTTGGGTGGGAACCAGGACTCCCCCATTTAACAGAAAAGGAAACAGAAGCTTAGGAAGATCACCACCAAGGCAGTGTCCGCCTCACTCTGTTCTACTTTGCTCTCATCCGTATGAGAAAGGAATGGGCAGTGGGTAAAGAATTCAATCTGCAGAAACAAAATCCTGCAAGCATGCCGCGATACCATGACCCTGAGCTTACAGTGTAGAGACAAAGGCCACCACACCGAAATTAGTAAACAGAGTGAAAATAGATGCATCTGAAGCCAAAAAGTGAGAAGCCAGGCAGAGACAGAAAATCAGAGGGGAGAAATAATTCGAATGTGGAGGTCGATATTTCCAAAATGCAAAGCTCATGGGAACCCGCACAGGGTCCACCCACAGAATAGCAATGGTCCCCAGCTGGGTGGCAAAGATCTCCAGTTAATGTGTTGTCCTGATTGTTCAATTGTTATTTTCCTAATAATTCAGTCACTACTTTTGAAAATGTATAGTGTACCTGACATCTCTTGTGCCCCTTGAATAGACTGTATTGTTGTTACTTAGTTTTGCTTCATTGCTAGGGTGAAAGTGAAGCTGTAACTCAGTGTAAATGCGATGTGTTACAGGTGAGCTGCTTACGACATATGGGCTCAGGAATTTCAGAAACTTGTCTTTAGGTGTTACTGGCACAAAATAACAGCCTACAGCACGGTCCTCTGGGTGTAAAAGAGAAAGCTTCCTGCAGTTTGACAACTTGTAAAAGTGAACTCTGCCACACACAAAGCATGTGGAGGAAGGGAGAGGCCCTCAAACTGCTTCTCAACATAGCATAGGAAAACCAAAGAAGGCTGTAGGAATCCAGAAAGCCTGAGCCAGATAGGAAACTTCTATAGGAAAAGTAAATTGACAAGTCCCTGATTGAAAGAAAATATTTGCAAAAGACGCATCTGATAAAGACATCCAAAATATGCTAAGAGCTCTTACAAATCAGCAACAAGAGAATGAAAAACCTGATTTCAAAAAGGGCCAAGAACTGAATGGAAATCTCACCAAAGAAGAGACACAGAGGGCCAGGAAGCGTCACACACAAAGTCACTGCCACGTCCTCTGGTTACCGGGGCAACGACAAAGAGAGGCTCCCAAGTGCCACACCCCGGGCCATCCAGGCCCCCACACCTGCGCCACAGAGGAAAGGCTGGCGGCTTCCCAGCCCTGCCAACCCAACACTGCGGTGTCCGCCGTGCTGAGTTTAAACTAGGGACACACTCACCAAACCCGCCTGGGTGCTCACAGGGAGGGAGGGTGAGCCGCTGTCATCCCAATGCCTGAGATCGAGGTGTCCCCACCCCCGTGTCCGGTGCTTCCCACGGCGAGAGTGGCTCCACAGACTTTGAGAAAAAAGAGATGCAGAAAAACTGAGGAGGAGTGGGCAGGGCCGCTGCCCAGACCACTGACTGGCTCGGGCTTGGCACTGTTTCCTCTCAGGTTGGGATCGGGCCCGTCTTTCCATTAGATCCTCACTGCGGTCACCATCATCATCACCACCATCATCATCACCGTGCTATTAACGTCATTTTCTCCTTAAAAAACCCAACCCAGAATATGTCTGTTATTAGAAAATTTTATTACAGTTTCTAAGCAGGATATTTTCAGTCTTCTGTGTTCAAGACTTGGAAGTCAGTGTACTTTCCATGTTGCCCTGTGTGGAAATTTATGTCCATCTCCTGATGAGAGGAATAAAACTCAACAGCAACTTTACTACTAATGATGAGAGGCGTTGGTTTTTATTTGTAGTCATTGCTCTTTAATGACCTGCACAGCTCTAGCACTTGCCCTGGCCTACACACGGGAATATTGATTTTCCTCTTTGTTTCCTGCTGGTAGAATCTCCTTGCTAAAGAAGTGCCTCCCTCCCCTCGGCATTGCCCCCAGGCCCACCTCGGTACTGTAGGAGTGCTGGGATGCTGAGCACAGAGTGCTCTCTCGTGGGCCGTCCTGCCCCAGAGGTAACGCACTTGCGGCCAGTGAAGTCCTTTCTCTGTTGTTTTGTGAAAAAAGGAAGTCTCGTTTACCTAAGAGAAAATGCTCCTCAAGCCAAGATCAAGGAACAGGGTAAAGGGGTGGCTCGCGGGGCGAACAGAGGACGACTAGGACGCACCCGGGACAAGGGACCAGCGGGAAGAGGAGGGAGGGAAACAGCGGTGAGCCGGGTGCTCTACCTGCCTCCCTGCCGGTGGCTGGGCCGCTGTGATGCAGCCCCTGCACTTCTGAGAAGCCCCGCCCCGCCAGCCGGGGTCAGAGGAGAAGGGGCTGGAGTCGCCAGGGCAGCGCATCTGCAGGGGCCTTAGCTGACCTGTTCACTGGCAGTAGTGCGTCCCATGTGTGGAAACGGCCGAGGCTGGGCCAGCCCGGTGGGAAGCTGGGTCCCTGGCTGCCTTGGGCCTCGTCTCGCGACCTCTCTCAGTGCAGTGTGGCCTGTGTGGTGGTGAGGAGGTCGGACCTCAGTCACAGGTTGGAGGCGCAGCTCGACCTGTGTCAGCCAGTGATCTGGGTGCCTCTGAGAGAGTGGCCCCTGTGTGGGGAACTCGGGGTCCACCCGAGTGTTCTTATGGGGGGCAAAGCCACCGGGGGCCACTGTGACAACCACTCCACTGCCCAGGGAGGCGGTAAGCACTGTGATTTCCAAGCTGAGAGGCAAGAGGCAAGGGAGGGACACAGACCCAGGCACGGAATCCCACGGCCTGTGTGTCACACTCACGTGGTGGCCTGAAGACGGCTGACAGCAATGCATTGCATGTTCCAGACAGCTAAAGAGAAGTTTTGGATGTTGGCCAAACAAAGAGTAATTATCCTGATTTGATTACTCTATGGCGTATAGGATGTGTGTAGGAGAGTTTCATGCCATCACGTCGAATCTCACGTGACAGACGTCCCCTCGTCTTCGGTTCCGTGTAGCAGAGGCAGCAGGCAGGCTGCTGTGAGCTTGCTCCGTGGCCAGCTTGACAGATAATCCAATCTGCAAGGGATCTGAGGCACCCACGATGGGCCAGGGGCACTGCATGGTGCTGAGCCACACGTCCTGACTGCGGCCCACTGCGGCCGGGTCCTTAGTGTGCAGCGTGGCCGTGGGAGGGCTCAGTGCCTGCATCCAGCATGCGCTGGAGGGAAAACAGATGGGCGAAGGAGCAAATTAACACAGATAAACAAAATGAACCTAGCCTTACATGTGGGACTTTATTTATTCAACAAATGCATGGAGTCCTTATTTTTCATGGTGCTGAGAAAGACATAAGAATAAACTAAAAATATTTCCTGCCTCAGAGGACAGCACGCTCTCCTGGTAGAAACTGGGGATTTGCATCTTCAGTCTTGCTTCTACTTGCTTGCCTGTCTGTCTGTCTACCATCATCTACCTGTGGGTCTCAGCCCCTATCTACTGTTTCTCCATCTATTATGGACCTGTCACCCTCTGTCCACCCTTTACCCTGGACTGCGAACCAAGAGCAGCGGCCACGGAGGATGGAAAGGCTGGGTCCATCTCCACAGGGGACCCTCTGACTCCTCCGATTCCTCCTGTTATGCTGAATGCTCCCGAAGCAGCCTCCCCAGAAATGTCCACTGGCCTCAGTAACCCGCAGCCCAGCTCAGCCATGAGGTGGCACCAACAGAGACAATGACAGCACAGGCATCATGGGTGCTCACCACAGGTGTGATCAAACTTCCACAACAAGAAAGATGCAGCTGCCAGCTTTGCCAGGGAAGAAAGGCTGAGAGAGGAGGTGGTGTCCAAGGGTCTTAACATTAAAATAGAAGTTCACCTGATGTCAGAGGCAGAAGGACAGACATCCAGGCAGAGAAGACTGGCAGATAAGGCAGAGAAAAGAGAGAGGAGAGTGAGAGAGAGCTCGTGGTGAGTTTGGATAGTGGTGATGATTTTAGTGTGGGGTGCATGACAAGAAAGGGCTCCAGATAAGACCTACAAGTAAAAGAGGACCAAATCTGGGGACCTGGAAGGTTCCCTGAGGCTCTGGGGCTCTGGCTTATGCATCATGATCTCAAGCTCCCAGCAGGTCGCTGGAATATCGTAGCCCCTCGGTAAAAATTTGTTGAATGAGAGGACTATGTTGAGTTTCAGAAACAGAAGTGGTTTCCGCTGATCCTACCACCCAGCTCTTCGCCTTGTTAGACTCGGAAGGAGGCAGAAATATGTGGGAAAAGGGAGTGTCGCTGGGAAACAAGAGGGGGAGGGAGGGAGAGAGGGAGGGAAAAAGGAAGAAAGGAAGAAAGCAAGGGAGTAAGAAGAAAAAAGGACAGACATGGCACACAGAAAGCCACGGAGAAATGGTGGCTCGGGCTGTGCTGCTGGACTCGGCTGGGCCTCTGCCAGCTGGATCCTCTCTGAAGCCTGTGGCGGTCAAGCAGCCGCGCAGCCTCAGTTTCCACTCCGGTGAGTGGGCAGCCTGTGGGCAGGGCCGAGCAGGTTTCTCAGAGCAGCAGAGATGCGCGCAGTTCGCTGGGAAGCCAGGGTCTCCAGGAGGGGTGGCAGGCGCCCCGGGGACCTGGACAGAAGCTGACATCCGGGTGATGGAGTCCCTGCTCGAGAGCACTGGAGTCTGCTCACACTGGCAGTGATTGCCACAGCCCTCTTCCGCTAATGACAGGAGTTAGTTGACATGAAAATTTGCTAATCGTTCCATTAGGGAGGCCTGAGAAGCGGCCATCTCCTTCCTCATCTGCTCAGTTAGCTGAGATTCACCGACACCGCTCCTCTGAGCTGATGCCAACTGCCCCACCCACCTTGCTAAAAACAGCCTTACAATGGCGCAGCTCCTGGGCTTCCAGCTCCCCACCAGCTCTGGCCCTGGGTCAGCGCCTGAGATCCCTCAGGGCAGAATGGCCAGGAGCAGGGGTGGATCTGCATGGCACAGGCTCAGCCAGAGACAGGCGAGGCCTGGGGAGGGCCAGGCAGCCCTGTGGACTGCGGGGTCACGTGGGGTCTGAGCCACTTCAGCTGGGGTCCTGGGGAATTGTGGGATACCAAGGGGATGCCCTAGCAGGGGATGGGGGACCCAAGCCACCTTTGTTTTGGCCTCCCAGCTGGTATGCAGGGTGCAGCCCCTGCCCTGCACCACAGGCCCCAAAGCACAGCGAACACACCACAGCTGACACCTCCACGTCCACAAGCAGCACCAACCTTTCCTCTCTTTAAGCTGATGGCTCTGTGATGGTTACAGTGATGGGAAGTTGGCGCATACGACACGCAGCCGCACGCTTTGTAATGAGCCTGATGGCAGGTTCCGTGTTACCTATGATTTATAGCAATGTTTTAATTCCTCTTTTCTTCCACAGCTGACCTTACGTCCCAATACAGGGGAATCAGAGAGAGGTTTAGCAGGAAATAACGCAATTGCTAAAAACAAAACAAAAAAATTGTTATGCGAGAAAAATCGCTTGACTTACAAAGATAACCCATTCCAACATATCCGAGTGATTCCTCCTCCCCTTCTCCTCCTGGCTTCCTCCTTTCCTTCAGAAGGAAGGGGACCGATTGTCTAGGAGGCGGAGGAGCCACCCTGAGCAGGATGGGCAGCTCCCGACAAGCACACTGAGTCTGCGCTCAACTTTCCGTTCCGCAGCGGATTCCTGGCCAACCCTCCCCGCTCCGTCCCACCCTCCGTTCTGTCTCTGTCCGTCTCTCTGCCTCGCTCCTCTCTCCCTTCTGAGATTTCCTTAACTAGGAACAACCAACCTACAGTGCTTGGACAAATCCGATCTGCTCCATGCTTCATTTCTTCACCCATAAGGTGGAGAAGATCACAGAAGTTGTCTCACTGGGATACTGGGAGAATTCAAAGAGTGGCTAGGTTTGAAAGACTGAGAAGAGACCCGGCACACGTTAAGCCGTTGCGTCTTCCTGCTCTTACTAATGCTGAGAGGCTGTGGGAGGCCTGTGCAAACTGCCCTGGGAAGAAAGGCACTCTGTCCCCCACCCCTTGGCTCTCAGCAAGCTCCGCCTTCAAATGAAGGACTAGGGCTGGGCTGCAACTCTTGATCCTCCTGCCTAGGCCTCCCAGAGCGCTGAGATTACAGAGCTGTACCACCTGCCCAGCTGAGCGGCTGTATTTCAACCTGGCATCAGGAGGCCCTTCCCACCAGTGCAGTTTAGACGCCCTGGATCGGGGAACACCCTGCAGGTGGGAGCTCTCACTCCCTGCCACGAGCCAAAGCCAGGAGGGGCCTGGGTGCCTCCCGCTGCAGGTCCTCTGGACGTCTTTTGGGGGTACAGGAACCCCAATCTAGGAGATTAGAGTCCCCGGCTTTTCTCCTTTGAAACCCACCTGGGAGGACCGGCGGTCCGGACCGCGGCCCCCACCCGGAGCCCAGCGGTGACCCAGCTGCATTTTAACCTTTGAACCCGGCTGCAGCGCACGCCTGTGACGTCGGCAGAAGCCCAGTCGGAACCTCACCGACGTACAATCAAGAGTGGAGCGCTGCTTCCCGTGGATCTCTGCGTCCCCTCTGCCAGGACAGGGTGACAGCCCAGCAGGGAGAGGGGTCGTTCCCAGGAAGCCTGCTCTGAGGAGGGGTGGCCGAGGCTCTGAGCGGTTCCTCGGGCACTGTGCAGTTTCCGACGTGGAAGCATCAGCCACCACCGCGCTCCTGTCCTGGGCGTTAGGTTTGGGCTGAATCGAAAAAATACATCTATTCGTATTAAGTGTGAAATGATTATTGGAAGTCCTGCTTCTCACACTTAACTGGTGGCAGACACTAAAATCCAATCTATGTAAAATTAATGGATTGGTGTGAGTCTGGTGTTTGTGTTTAATCAGAAAATTGCATTCCGAGTCCTTGAAAGCATATTAATTGAAGTTTATCAAGAAGGCAGTGAGTATTTAGACTGAAAAGCAAATGCAAAATATATCAACACCCAGACCTGCAATTACCTACCATGGTTGCCCTACAATTCTTATGCCTTCAAATAAAAATAAAGCGTAATGCGTGCTCCAGCATGGAAATCCTGGCAGGGAGTCAGTCGTGCTTCTCTGACTTGGCTGTGCAAATGCAGTGGGAACAGGGTAGGCGCTGCTGATGTTGTCAGCTACACATCTCTGAGGGTAGAATGAACCCAAAATGTTGTTTCACCCAGCCTGATTTTTGTGTGTGCGTGTAAATAACTGGAGAAACAGGCTCTCCACACCCAGCTTCCCTAAATGCTGTCATAACAATAAGACGGACGGGAAGGGAGAAGCAAGCTGAATGCTGTACCCACGCCACTTCCCACGGCAATGTCATCACTAGGTGCTGCAAGCGTGGACTAATAAGACTAGAAATTAAAAAGCAAACCGCATATGGCTGTGACCCCTTTGTCCTTGACCTTATCATGTTAGTTTTTGAGTCTCCGTAACTCACGGGTCAGCAAATGCTGGCTGGGCTTTCTTGACCACGGGAGTTGGGTCTCTGCTGTCTCTTTTTCTCTGCTGACCTAGACATCATGCCTTCTTTCCTACTAAGATCTCTGCCCAGACCACCTGGCTTGTGGTCTGAGATAAAGCCCTGCACTGGGCATCTCCAGGTGGCTGGGGTTTCTGCACCAGGAAGGGCCACTGAACATCATGCAGAGTGTGGCGAAGTACAGCCTTTGGGCTGGCTCAGTCCTCACTCAGGGGTGTTTCAGAGGGCACAGCCGCCTGCCTGGGGCCACCTCCTCTGTGGGAGCTGAGCTCCCACCTCTCCTCTACGCCTCTTTACTGTGCTGGGAAGTGGAAGTCATTTCCCTATTTAACACGTGAGGAAACTGAGGCATGGGACAGTCACGGAACTTGGTCAAGATTGAGATATGGAAGATGACTAAAAGGAGAAGAAGGAATGACTTGGGCTAGAAGTGACAGAGTTGGGATTTGAACCAGGATGGCAGATTCTAAACACGCTCAAACTGTATTCTTCTACCCCTTCACGGACACTGAAACTGTAGATCACTTCGTGGTCTACAGATCAAAACGCAACCTTGGCTTGGCCCCTGGAGCCACGGTCACTTGATTTTCAAATTCTTTTCTGAGGGAGAGCCAGAATATTTTACATAGTTATTTTTGGGTTCTGGGCATTGGGTCCCACCCAAGCTCTCAGCCCTTTTGTATTTATGTCATCTCACGTGTTTTGCTTACAACTTATTTGTCTGCATAAATTTCCCACAAGAAAGACACGTGTCTGACTACCATGGTGGGCATGGGCATGAGCTCTCCAGGCAGACAGCTCTCCAGGTTCAAACACAAGTTTGCCGGGGCCAGGGATGTAGCTCAGTGGTGCCATGCCTGCCTTGCAAGTGCAAGGTCCAGAGTTTGATCCCCGGTACCAAACCCACAAGACCAGAAAACAAGTTTGCCACCTATCATTCAATCTTGGGCAAGGCACTTTTGTTCTTTGAGTCTTGTTATCTTCACCAATAAAATGGGATGATGATGATGATGATGATGATGATGATGATGACACAGTAGTAGTGTGAGGTGTGATCAAAAACTGTGGCAAATGACCACATTTTAAAATTTTATTACCAAAGCAGTCACATTGCCACGAACCCCCTCACAAGCCCCCCTGCTGTTAACACTCTCATCCATTCCATCGTTCGTGCTGATTTCTGAAGCCTCCCTAGAAGTCCTCTTCCCTGGGCGTCTGTAGCTGTGGTGGCCTCCATGATCTTAGTTCTAATCCTTTGCCTTTCAAGGTCATTTTGACTTTGGGAAAGAGCCAGAAGCTGCACAGTGCCAGATCCTTGACGAAGGTGCGTGAGGACACAGAGTCGTGCTCTTCTGAGCCGCCTTTCCATTGGATGACTCTCGGTAGCAGCACTCACTGTAGACGCTCACAGAGGAGGACTCCAGAGCTGCTTCAGAACGTGGCAAGAATGGTGGGCTGTGTGTGTTCAGTGAGGAGGAGGATTCTGAAGAGGATTAACGGCAATGTGTCTTTTACTGTAATCAATTTTTAACAGGTAAGCATTCACCGTATACTTTGATCAACCCTTGTCTCTGTAGATTAAATGAGTACACACAGTCCCTGGTGGCTAGCAACCTGCTGCGTGTAGAAGCACTTGGCTTCAGCTTGAGCCTGGAAAGGTCCCGCTCTGTCTAGGTAACAAGAAGATGATGAAGACCTTAGAACCAGAAGCAAAGCAAGGCTCTCTCCTTGGATGAGGCCAGACAATGGAGGACAATGAATTAGAAGCAGACAGATCACCTCAGTTCTGTCCCCAGCCCCTGCGTGTTGGCTTCCACTTATCAGCTTCTCGAGACTTGAGGCGACTGACTTAGGAAAGGCTCGTGTTGGGGCACCTCCTTTCAGGGCATCCGGTTCATGACCTTGGCTCCTGTTGCTTTGGGCCTGGGGTGACACAGTTCATCATGGGGGGAGCCCGTGAAAAGGCTCAGAGGGGAGAAGAAGAGACCAAGGCCCTCTACCCTCTCTACAGGCAATACCCGCACCCCTACGAGGCACATCTGAGAAAGACCCCACCAACCCCGGCGGGGCCAAGCAGGGACCATACAGCTGTTCAGGGGCGTCCAGACCCAGACTGCACACCTGGCGTCTGTGACTGTCCCCAAACACAGGACACAGATCTACCCTAAGGTTCCTGCAGGGGCTGACTTTCTGTGAATCACCAATCGCCTCAGAGAGCGTGCAATTTCCACACCTTGTGTGACCACCACACGCAGCCTGGGACTCAGGCACCCAGAGTGGCTGCTGGCACCCCTGCCCCTCCACTGGGCCCTCACCCTCCCAGCCCAGGCTGGTCACCGCCCCCCCATAATGGAGTTAATTTCTGTTGGGATCAGACGTCTCCCCCTGGAAAATTTTATTCATATTTTTTCCTGTTTTGTGATTCTCAATTGGAGTTTTCTAATAACAGATCATTTCTTTGTGTCTAACTTTAATCTGGTCCTGCTTGACAAGCTCCATCCTTTTCACTGAAGGGTAAGACCACTTAAAGGAAGGCCAATAAGCCCATGCACTGCTCTGCCGGCCGGGTGATTTGTCACCCGGTACAGTGGTGGTCACACCAATGGATTTATCTCAAGGTAAATGGAGATGCTGAGCCCCGGACCCGGAGCTTTGATTAAGGCGCCCTTTTTGTAGTGTTGATAGATGTTGCTTGTGTTTATCTATTTGAAATGCCACTAAATCTGTGAATACAATGGGAAAAGAGAGTACTTTGCCGCCGAAAACATATTAGTGATTTATGTTTCGGTAAGAAGCACAATGAAGAGACAGAGGCTATTAAGAGCAGCTATTTTCATGAGAAATAGTTCGGCTTTAAAACGTTAGGGCCCCACCTTGATGAGGACTTGCACACATGCACAGTCGTGTTTATTTACCCCTCCGCTCCAGTGCAATGTGCACTGGAAGCCGGCACACTCCAAATATTAATAAGTTAGCCAGCAGGATGTTTACGGCAACAGATACCTCGGCCGGGACGGTTCTGCATGTAAATTCCCTTCTCTCCAGATCAGGATGTGTAATAAACTCATCCGGGAAGCTCTGGTATTTATATGGACTTCATACTGCTCTGAGCCCTCTCTATCCCTGCCACCTCTGCTGTGCCCCGCCTCCCGGGCCCGGCCATGGAGTCGCGAGGAGGCTGACGCGCAAAGGCTGTAATGCACGGGCATAACTTACCACATGAGTCACTGTCATCACCACCCTCCCATGTAAATGAGCAGGGTCAGACGCGAGTGCTGCATCACCCTGACCGCTGACAGTTACAAATGCGTCACCTTGCGTGCGTAATAGGAGTGTACAAACCCAGAGAGATTTGTAAACTTGGTTCATTTCAACCAGAACTGACCCCAGGAAGGAAGCCCAGCGCACCTGGGCTGGCAGAGATTGGGTCTTTTCAGGGACCTGGGTGTGGGGGGTTCCCGGGCCTCAGGCCAGTAGCACTCACACCCTTGGGAACGGGGACCAGGGTGGCGGTGGGGACATGGGGGACACCTGGTGAGGGGTGTGGGTGCTTTGGGGGCTCGATTCCCATCCAGGCTGGGAAACAGGCCCGAGCCCGTGGGCACCTGCTGCCCAGTGGCCCAGGACAGCCCCGCTTGGCACTGCCATGCCACACCTGCACGCCCTCTGCACACCGAGTTACTAAAGGTGTTGGCTACGGGGATTCACTCACCGGGAGTCAGCCCCAGCCTGCAGGTGTCACGTAGCCTGAGCAGCGAGTGAGCAGGGCAGATCAGGGACTTTGGCTGCCTGCGTCTGTGTCTGGTGTGAGTGAGGGTGAGTGGGTAGGATGCACAGCCCCCTGCTGCTCTCACTGGCGCCCCAGAGTCGTGGGTACACTGAGCACCGCACAGGATCTGATACACACGTACATGGAGACACACACAGATGCACACAGAC